AGAATGTAAATAGAAAGGAGTCGGCTTGGCTTGTGTGGAATCCAGGTTAGAAGAGATTGTTGACCTCGCTTTTGTGAGGACTTATCTCACACTTTGCCCACAACCTTAAATCATGGCTTTGGCTTTTGGGACTCCATGCCGGCTGCCTTAATTTTGTTTTGGGAAAATAATGTTCAATTTAATATACATATAATTTTGATTTTTAAAAATATTATTTTAATTTTGAAAATGAGACAAAAATATCTCATATAATTAGTAGTTTAAATAACTGAGCACCATACCACAAGCAATGCACATATCCCGAGGAATTGACATATTTCTTATTAGAGGGGCTCAAATAAATAAATTAAAAAATATATGGCATTTGTTTGATCTTGGAACATTGAAGACTAAAGAAATATTGACCTACAAGTTCTCCTATTTAATATATGGATTAGATAGAGTTTATATTACTTTGGTTCTTTAGTTTCTTGTAGAGGCAAACCCTTATAGTTAATTACATCCTAAGCAACCGAAGTCACTTAAGAAAACTCTCGATAATGATCGGAGATTTCGTCTTCAAGATTGCAAAGTTTAGTTTCCAATGTTGGATAGGGAAAATCAAATGAGAGTGGATAAAAAAGGAGCTTCCAAAGAAACGAGAAATAGGGTGTCTCAAAGATCTCGAGGAGAACCTCGATGACTTCCCAAATTATCATATGGTTTGGCTTCAGTTTGAAGGTGATAGTATTAGATGTTTCATCCTGTCATTTTTATCACTTAGGTCTTACATCTGCATGTTATCTGATCATGTAAATGATCTGAAAGATAGGAGCATTTACATCACACCGAACGACAACATCGAAATCCTAAAAGAGTTAGGGCTTATATTGCACAATATAATTGTGCAAAAGCCTAAATATGAGGTGAGGATTTATGTCGCACTAGGCGGACAACCTCAAAATCATATAGCTTGTTGTTTAGATTATGAAAGGTTTAGCTGAAGTAGACCTCGTTTTCTCTCTCGAAGATATTCTTCTGTGCGTTGTGACCTCGTCGTGTTGCCCACTTGCCATAGTAGTAGCTCCAAGGTGTAAGGTTTGTTTTGTTATCATTAGATCTTATTATTAGATTGTTTCGGGGGGATTTTAATTGAAGTTAAGCGACACCGGTCAAGATCCCATGGTTCCGTTGTCCCGACATCAATATTTTCTTTTGAATTTACATAGTCTAAACAGGTTGTTAAGCTCATTTAGACCGGAGAATTCTAGCTAGCAACCGTAGGTTATCTCATCCGAGAGATTCTCATAAATTCAAAAGGGGTGAATTATGTTTGTTTTGAGGTTTTGAAAGTGTATTATTTTATTTTGAAAGTTTTATTTTTATTTTGCACGTATTAATAGTAAAGCATGCATATTAAAGTAAAGTGACAGTAATGTAAAGTAATAAAATTGCAATAAATAAATTGTAAATGTGTACCTGACGCTCATGTTGTTGTTGCATGGTTAGTATCATAAAAATAGTATAATTGCATAAAATTTAAATAAATTGCAAGAGAATCTGATATGAGAAAATCCAAACAAGTCGTAGAAAATAGAAGTAAGTAAGGTAAAACCCGACGTCAGATATGAAAGAGAGCGATTGAGTGTAGGACTTTAGTAAAGGTGGGGGCGCAGGGTGGGACTGTGTGTTTCATAATTCCAACTTTTGATGAAAGCTACCAACCCGACAATCCAAAGAGAGGCAATTCCTAGCTTCGATCCAAGTGATTAACCTGTGGACCTTTATAAGTTAGCATCAAAATTCTTTAATTTTTCATGCATATAAAGTTTATTTTGGCAAGCAAAAGTAATAAGTCAGAAAAAAGGGATTGTTATCTTATATCGTAGGTATTTTTCTTGTAAAATTAAATAGTCTATAAGCTAATTCTTCTAATCAGATTAGACTACCGACAACATAAAAGTGTCGGGGACAAATTCCAAAGCTAGTGAATAGTATCATCAGACATATCCTCACTCCTTATAAAGGATCCTTGAGATAGGAGATACTATTCCAAATCCCATTTCGTATCCCTTGCTTAGCACACATAAACAATGTTGTCATCGCCCTTGCCACCTAGACCTCCGACTTACACTAATCTGATAATCCATGTGTGGCAAAATATCCCTAGTTGCTCAGAAGAATTTAAATACTTTATCTAAGACTCAAATCCTTGAGCATTGAGTTATAAATGTAAGATAAGTAGTGTAGGCTGTTTTATTGAAAGTGTGAATTAATGTGTCCCGAGTCATATCTTGGTGGGTCTTTAAGATTTTGAGGATGATTTTCTTCAACCAAGCATAATAGATCTCAATGTCTTTCAAAATATCCAAAAGATTGGAAAAGTGTTCGGGGCATGGCCCTAAACATTTTTATAATTTTTGAAATATTTTGAGTTCATTTGGACTTATTATCTTTTTGAATTAATCATCCTAGTTAAATTAGGATTTAGCTGTGGTGTTTTAACCTATGCTCACAAAACTTTAATGTTTTAATTATTCCATGAGTAGGGTAACTAGACATTCACTTGATGTTTCCTTTAGGAATTATGTGGGTGCACGCCTTTAAGGGCAAGCTAAGGTGTTAAGAAATCCTCACCTTTTCAATTAAAATTGAGCTTGCAGTGTTTTAAAGATGTTTATAATTGATTGCGCTTTCTTTTCTAAACTTCATTAAGTGATTTTGGATCTAGCCTAATTCACTACTAAGCTCTTGAGTCATCATGGGTAGATTTGCAATTTTGAAAAACGTTGAATAAGACGAACTTAATTATTATCAAAGGTTGTATTATCACTTAACTATTGATTTAGGGCTTCAAATAAGTGGGTCTAGATCAAGCCCTTCACATTAGGATCAACGAACTAAATTGACTTCCAAACCACAACAATTTAGAAAATTACACTTTTACACGGCTAGGCAATAACGGTCATATAATGGTTGTTATGCAAGGTTGGACCATGGTGATCAACTATAAGCTTCCCTAAAATGAATTTTAGATGGTTCTGAATTTTGTGCTAAGAAAATTCATTTCAAGCACTGCATCAGAATTTATACTAAATAAAATGATTTTTTAATCATATATTAATAGAAAACTAAGTGCACAAGCAATCAAATAACTTAAGTCAACTGTAAATTGTGTGATTTCATGAGCGTTTAAGGCACAACCTTAGACTGCATTACAATGAAGATACATTTGCTGAGCTCTTATGATTGTTAAGGCACGCAAAAGCTTTATGCCTAATCATGGATTAGATTTTCATATAAATATTTAGTTGTTAGCATTCCCCCCCATGTGTTCAACTCTGGTAGTTAAAAATAAAACCAATTAATAATGTATTCGTACTAACTTCCCCAACTTTGTCAACCTTGTGACTAAAGTCTTACAAATTGAAATAACCATATGATTACAAGAAAAAAAGGGCAAACAATATATTTAACAAAGAAAATTACAAGTGTGCCCCCAATTTATCATCTTGAAAAAAAAAAACTATCAATTATTAGATTGATGATTATTGATGTATACTATTGGTTGTCTATTCAATAATTTAAATTAGTGTTGTGGTAGTCGTTCGGTACATATCTCACAACAATTGGCGCCGTCTTTGGGAAGATCCATACTTCTTGGCTAGAGGTGTCCGCGTAAAGGTGTTCGCGGCCAGCGGCGAAGAAAAGGAGTTCGGCATTCACGAACAAGTGCTATGGCCCATGAGTAAGGCATCAAAGCATCTCCCTTAAATAAAGGATTGTGGCTTCTAATTGGCATTTTAATTATGATTATAGCTAAATCTTATAAAAACTGATCTCACACATTCTTAACTGCTGCAGTAACCATTTCTTTTTTTTTTCCTTTGAAGTTAGATCTACACAGATCTATTTGCTGATCATAATGACATGTCTTGCACTGATAAACTGATATCATTTATTGATGCATCTTTCATGACATAAAATTGACAATACAAGATTAGAAGTAATAAAAATTAGTTTGTCTAATTTTGTTTGGATTAATCTGAAGGGAGAGCCACAAAGAGTAATGTGAAAATACTTGTTTACCTTACCATAGGCGTCAGATTAAAGATGAAGCATACCAAAGAGACTTTCTCCTCAATTGTTATTTCGATTGTCTCAGAAACATTTACCTGACATCAGTTTTTGGGAGACCACATACATACCACCTAATTCTTACATATATTGGGTGACAAAATCAAATCTTCCACATATTTGGAGTGGAGATATGCGGAATTATTGATTGTTTTAGGCTAAGCGGTCTTGCACAATTTTGGAAGTAGGAAAATGCTTGAAGATTAATTACTTATTTATTTATTTTTAATCATATGCTAAACGTTGATTAATCCTTCCCCCACACAAAGTGGTAAAGTAATTATATTTTATTTTAATGTTACAAGTTACCTTCTGAGAAAAAATAGCTTAAAAATCAGTTTGTTGTTTGATGGAGAATGCATTTTCTTATGACACATAATTCTTTATCAAATTCTACACTTTATTGATTTTAGTTTAAATATAAAGAAATATAGACAAGGATGGCTATACTTTTAGCTTCAACAACAGCAACAAGTCTTTATCCTACCAAGTGCGGTTGGCGACTTGAATTATTTTTCTCCGTGGTGTTCTATTTTTAATCATGATAGGTTAAGATCATTTTTAATAGAACATAAGTAGAATCTAAAACATCTATTCTTCAAACTGAATCATCAAATGATCGACGTTTAATGTGACCAAACCATCTAAGACGACTCTCTAATCTTATTTGCTACAAAAGCCACACCAATCCACACCAATCCTATCATGGATAGATTGATTTCAGATTTTATCGCTATGTGTCACGCCACTCATCCAACTAAGCATTCTGGTCTTAGCAACATTTAATTTTATTTTATGCTTCTCTTTTAAACCAACAAAATATGATAAACTGAAATTATGAATTTCCTTGTTTTATACTACCTCTGTTTTAGTATGGTTAAGTATTTATATCGCCACCTGCCACCAAGCTTCCTCAACAACCCATCACAGCTCTATCCCTCCGAACCTTTGCCATGATGAGAAGATAGATCGAAGGTCCTGAAACTCTAAGAGGCCAAGTAAGAAGAAGAGGACTCCATTCTTTTTTTTTTAATTATTATTTTCTATTCATCTTCTACGAACGGATTCTTCTGCTCTCTCTCTGGCCTGGGCTTTCTGCTTCCTTTTTTCTTTTCTTTACAGGTCCTTAGTTCATTTCTATCATCCGCTCTCACATTTCGCTTTGCTTTTTAAAAGACTTGCGCGTTTCTTTTTCTGGTGGGAGTTCAGTTTCTTAATAAATGTTAATGTTTACCTACTTCTGAACAAATCCCTGATTATGAAATTTGAACCTGCTCTCTTCTTCACATGTTGAAGTCTTTTATCCAGCAAATTTCTTAAGCCTTGTTATAATCAGGTTTTGTAATCTGATTCTCTTGTAATCTGATCCATATGAAGTGAGCAAATGAAAAGGCTTGTTGGTCTTATGGAGGCTAGACATCGACTGGCTGGAAGTCTGTAAGTTTCTTAGCTCTTCCGCCCTTCTGTATTACATGTTCATGAATTACTAATTACGAGATTTCTGCCTCTGCTTTGCTTGTAATTCAACGGCCTCTTATGAGCCTTTAACTTGCTATCTTGATGTGTTACTCACTAGTGGAATCTGGGGGAGTTGGGTGGCTTTCATTTGTTTAGATTTAAGAAAAAACTTAGATATTTATGCATAACAAATTTTATACTTTTGAATTATCTTGTAGTCATGCAAATTTTAGATGTTTCGCCCTTTCTAGACTCTTTCTTTTCCTCTCTTATTTTAAGTTTTAATTCAGCCACCATTGTTATTGTCTCAATTATATTGTTTTCTTACAATTTTATGATTTTTACTAGCTCTCCCTTTTTTTAAAATTTGGTTAACAACTTATATAGTAAATTTAAAAAAAAAAAATTGTTTTTTTCAGATTAACTTGTTGTTTCTGTCTTGCAATAAAACATGTTGGAAAATTTTCGAATTAGTCTAGAATGTTTATATGTTTTCTAGAGGCTGTCCACTTTACAGACGCAAGGTTCAGAAGCATGCATATGGCTCTTTTTAACATCTATCTATCTGTCTATCTTTTTTTTTATTTTTTTTAAAAGTAATTCATATTTGGCAGAAGCCCAAATATCAATTTCCGCCCCATGATGAAAGCCTGCGGCAGGTGCCTAAAATTTCAAAGCTCCCGCGTCATGTTGGAATTGAACCAATGACCTGAGAGGACTTACAGTAACCCCGCCTCTGAGGATTTATGTCG